TGTCTGGGGACTGCAGGTGAAAAATAGCCTTCTGGCTAATTCTGGCATATTTACAGAAATGTTATTAATATGCACTGTCCCTGTAAGAAATAAAGGTTTGAAAAAAAAAAGTCCCGGTCTATTTATGACAAACTAGCAGACATTGTGCCAAAATTCGACATTGTTCAAAACTCCGCCTTCTGTTCTGATTGGCCCAGACGAAAATTCTCCTGAAGAAATCCTTGTCTTTGGGAGAAATCCCAGATGTAGCAGTGAAGGGAAACTAGAATTGAGCAGAACTGCGTAGGAAGGCAAGGGCCAGGCTAACTTTARCTACTTTCACATTAATTTTAGCAAACAAAAAGGCTTTTGTTTTAGTAATGAAACTGCATCCATCTATCCATCCATTATCTACACCTGTTTATTCCTTTTCTAGGGTCACGGGGGTCACTGGTGCCCATTTCCAGCAGTCACAGTGCGAGGAGCAGGGTACACCCTGGACAGATCGCAAGTCCATAGGGCCACACATAGAGACAAATGGGACAGACAACCATTCACTCTCTCACTCACACCTAGGGACAATTTAGAGTTATCAATTAACCTAACAGTCATGTTTTTGGTCTGTGGGAGGAAGCTGGAGTACATGGAGAGACCATGCAAACTCTACCCAGAAAGGCCCCCGGGCCGGGATTTGTTCTGGCAACCTTCTTGCTGAGAGGCATCAGCTCTACCAAATGAGCCACTGTGCCACCCCACGCATTTGTATTGTTAAAAATAAGTTAAATAAAATAAAAAATTAGTTTTCTCTATTTCCAAATGTCTCAAAAATATAAAAATAAATAACACTACCAACTGATGTGGCTCGTATTTTGAAATGTAACCTGGAGCTCTTTGTTAACAGAAGCGGAAACAATGAATTAAGACATCAGGAGACAAAGCCCAGAGGAGGAAAGTACACTTCGCTGCAGCATGCAGAACGGGGCGGTGACAGACCTTTCCGTCAGTCCCATACCTTATATGGAAA